GCGAACAGGACACTTGAGCAGAGACCGACCGTCCCGTCATTCCTATAGTCCCACCACGACATGTTCTTAGAACCCAAAAATGTTCTCATAAAAAAACAAGCTTCTTGAACATGAGCCCGATGTCTTAAAACAAACCACTCCCAGCCAGCCCAAAAAGCTTCGAAGAACATTTCGTGGAAACCTCAGAAGGTTCTTAGAACATTGTTCGGTAGGGCTAGAGGCGAGCCTGGACGCTTCGCCACTGCTTGAGACACGCACCCACACCCACAGGAGGCTCGGAGGGAGGAGGCCCGGCTGCGGTCAAAGGGTTCGGGTGGTCGGCCCCTGGGGGCGCATATCCCGCTCGAACGGAGCCCCCCCGTCCGACAGCACGCACCCGTCGCCCCCTCCGTCTGGGGGGCAGCGATCCCCGGGGGCGCATATCCCGCTCGAACGGTGACCCCCCTCCTCCTCCTCCTCCTCCTCCTCCTCCTCCTCCTTCTCCTCCTCCTCCTCCTCTCCCTCCTCCTCCTCCTCCTCCTCCTCCTCCTCCTCCTCCTCCTCCGTCCGAGGGCATCGGGGGGGGGGGCGGGGGTGGGGGCCAGGGGGGGGGGGGGGGGCACGTCGAGCCCGAGGCGGCGGTGCGCCGCCGAGGGAGAGAGCGGCGAGGGGCCCCCGGCGGCGACTCCGCACGTGCCCGGGGCTGGGCGGGGGGTTCGGAGCCCTGGCGGCGATCTGTGGGGGAGTGGGGCTCGGCGCCCCTGGCCTTCCAGGAGGGCTAAAACATAGCACGCGACTTAAGAACCCACTATCCCAGAGCTATTTTTACGTCTTGGTTTTATGCTGTCGTTTCGTTGTTTCGGATTTTAGGCCTCCCGTGCTAAAAAATAGCTCTCTGGAAGGTCAGGGGCAGACCCCCCTGTGTTTCTGCTGCTCGCGTCGTGCTTGAGGACCACGTCCCTGAACTAAAGTCGAAGGCCGTGAGAAGTGTGTCGAAAGAGCGTCGAAAGAGCGTCGAACAAGTGTCGGACGAATGTCTCCCAGGGCTCGACAGGTGAAAACCCTCGAGTTCCGAAACTTGTTGCTGGTGCTCGAAATTCTCTCTGGTGATCAAGGCTAAAGTCGGAGGTGAGGGGATGATATCGGAGTGGAACAGGGGCCCCCCTACCGGGAAATCGGTTTCGGTTTCGTGCGTGCCGCGCGTGCGGGCGAGGCGAAGCTGCGTGGGCGGGCGAGAAGAACGTCCCCTCGGGCTGAAGCGCGGCCGGACCAAATGTTTCCTGACCGGGGGCCGGTGGCGCGCGGTGCCCCGCCGGTGTCCCGCCGGTGTCCCGTCGGCGGCGTCCCGATGATAATGATGATGATGATGACGATGATGATGATGCTGATGTTGATGATGTTGGCGACGATGATGATTATAATTATGGTGATGGTGGTGATGAGCATGGTGCCCCGATGATGATGATGATGGTGGTGGTGGTGGTGATGGTGAAGGTGGTGATGAGGATGGTGTCCCGATGATGATGATGATGATGTTGTTGATGCTAATACTGTCGCTGATGATGATGGTGTCATGATGATGATGTTGATGATCCTGATGTTGTTGAGGATGATGATATGATGCTGATCAAGACGACGATGATGATGGTGTCCCAATGATAATGTTGTTGATGATGATGATGATGATGGTGACGATGATGGTGTCCCAATGGTGATGATGATGGTAATGATAATGAGATGAGGGTGATAATGATGATGCTGGTGTCTTGCTGATGATGATGATGGCGATGGGGATGATGTTGATGACGATGAATTGATGACGTTGCTTGTGAGATCGATTGTGATATCGATAGTGATATCGATCGTGAAACCGAATGTGAGATCGATGGTGAGATCGATAGTGAAATCGATAGTGAGATCGACAATCAGATCGATTGTGAGATCGATCGAATGAAATAGATCGAATGGGATCGATTGTGACATCGATCGAGTGAGATCGATCGAGCGGGGCCGATAGCGAGACCGATAGTGAGGTCGATATTGGAACACCACAACCTTGTGCCGATCTTACCACTGATCAGGGAACGGCCCTCGGGATGGGAGGCCGGTCCCCGGCAAGGCGTCCAGACTTCTGGAGGGAATTGGGCCTCAGCGCTGTTTTTCGTTATGTTGTTCGTTTTGTTGTTCGTTTTGCCCCACCTGATTACCTGTACCTCCCTCCAAGGACGAAGAATTACTCCGACGGAACGACCCCACATGATAATCTGTTTTGCGTGCCCTTCTCCTTTTCCTCCTGGCCATGGCACACGCCCTCCTCTCGCCCTCTCCTCTGCCCTCTTTTCCCTCCTTCTTCTATTTTTCCCTTCCCCCTCCTTCTACCTCCCCCTCCTCCTTCTCCGCCTCCTCCTTCTCCGCCTCCTCCTTATCATCGCCCTCCCCCATATCCTCCCCCTCCTCATCTTCCTCCTGCCGCTTCTCTACGTGCACCTCCCCCTCCCCCTGGTCGTGGCAAGCAAGTCGATGTTCCTCGGCGCCGTCGCCGCCTCGGCCAGCACTGGCGCGTTCTCTGATGGCCGCGTCGCGCAGCCGTTGGGACTACCCCGCGGGCCAGGCTGTCGGGACAACCCCGCGAGCCGCTGGCGCACAAGACCAAACCGTTGGGACAACCCCATAAGGACGGGGGCTCCCGCCTGAGACTTCCTCACAATTCACTCACAAACGAGGCTCCCGCCGGGTATTTCCTCCGAATTCCCGCCTGGGGGACCCAAAAGTGACGACAGTTACAAGATTCCGATGACCCGATCGGATTACTAACATGATCTGCGGGCCCCATAGGGAGGGGGCTCCCGCCTGAGACTTCCTCGCAATTTACTCACAGACGAGGCTCCCGCCTGATACGTCCTCCAAATTCAAGCCTGAGGAGCCCAATAATGACGACAGTTACAGGATTCCGATGACCCGCTCGGATTGCTAACATGATCTGCGGGCCCCATAGGGAGGGGGTTCCCGCCTGAGACGTCTTCGCAAGTTACTCACAGACGAGGCTCCCGCCTGATACGTCCTCCAAACTCAGGCCTGAGGAGCCCAAAACTAACGACAGGCATAGGATTCCGATGCCCCGCTCGGATTACTACCATGATCTGCGGGCCCCATCGGGAGGGGGCTCCCGCATGAGACTTCCTCACATTTCACTCACAGACGAAGCTCCCGCCTGATACTTCCTCCAAATTCAGGCCTGAGGAACCCAAAAGTGACGACAGTTACAGGATTCCGATGACCCGCTCGGATTACTAACATTAGCTGCTGGCCCCATAGGGAGGGGACTCCCGCCTGAAACTTCCTCGCAATTCACTCACAGACGAAGCTCCCGTCTCATGCTTCCCCCATATTCAACCCTCAGAAGCCCCCAAAGTGACGACAGTTACAGGAGACCGATGACGATGCGATGAGTGAGTGATGATGATGACGAGTGAGTGATGATGATTATGGTGATGATGGTGATGACGATGATGATGACGATGGTGATGGTGGTGATGATATTGATGATGATGAGTGAGTGAGCCGTGTGATGATGGTGGTGGTGATGACGATCATCACACTCTCTCACGCGCACACTCATCCTCATCCTATGTGAGTGCTGATGAGTCGGTGAGTGAGTGAATGAGTGAGTGAGTGAGAGTGAGTGAGTGAGTGAGTGAGGGATGATGAGTGGGTAAGTGAACGAGTGAGGAATGAGTGATGATGATGGTGGGTTCTTGTTCCTGCGCGGGGTGTCCAGAGAAAACAAGAACCCCACTTTGGATGTGGGGAACAACACACAGCCGAAGTCCAGCAAAACGGCGTAGGTCCAGCCCTGCCTCTGGAGGGGGGGCACGCCGTGGCGAAGCTCAGGGCGTCGGACGTCTGTAGGAAGTCGAAGCCTGTGGGCCCTTGGCGTGGGCCCGCTCAGTCCAGGGGGAACGGGCCAAAGGAGGGGGGGGACGTTGACCTCAACGCGGCGGTACATCGCCGAAAGATCGGTGATAGGCCCTCGATAGCGAAACTGCACGATCGTGGACGAGGAGGGCTATCAGGCCCCATAAATCGGGGATGAACGAGTGTGATCCTCGTCGTCTGGCTTTTGGGCCAGGTCTCCAGCGGCCGATCGGGACGATCCAGGCACCCCTGGACTCCTCTCGGCGAGGCGCAGCTATCGAAACGCAGCTGCGGACAACCTGCCAGAGCCGACAACAAATCCGAAAACGTGCGAATGCCCCAACATCGTTGTCGTTTTTTGGAAGGGAAGGAGGGCATGGGGGAGGTGCCGCTGTCCCTGGTCCCCAAAATCCGATGTCTTGATTTCTTCAATTCAGGGCCCCCGATCTCGGTGGCCGACATGTCGTCCTCCTAAGCTTCTGTCGGGCATGCCTCCCCTGCAGGCGGATGTTGAACGCTATTTTGGTAAGGGGGTACAAGACAACAAAAGCCCAAGATGGTTAAACGAAGAAATCAAAGAATCGTTCCCTGATTATTTTTGACTATGTTCGAATCTCCCTCTGTAGAGGGAAAGGCACGACCCAATCCTAAGTCGCTGTTTCGTCCCTCGGGCCTGGCGAGGGCCACCAAGAAGCATAGCATTGCGAACAAAAGCCGCTGCAGGCAGTGGAAGCCCATATGCCGAGAGGCACCCTGCCTGCCTCCAGGGTGCCCTGGGTCTCTTGGGCTTCGATGGTTCTGCGATGCAGAGCGTACATCCTGCGAAATGCTTAAGAAATCATGGGTTAAGAAATCCATCGTCTCAGAACTGGAATAAAAAACACGCCTAAGGTGTAGCCTGTACCACACACAAGATGTTCCATGGACGTCCTGGGGTCCCAGGGTCGGATTTCTTGCGGAAGGTCTCTTGTCTTCGAGCTCCCGCTGCAGATTTTCCCAGCGGTTGGCGGAGGTCTGGCAGGACAGATCCCCAGGCACCGACGAGGACGTCGCCCCCGAGGTCGAAAGAGAGCGAGACAGAGAGAGAACAGATTGGCGCCGCGCGCCTGGACACGCGCAGGCTGCGCGACTCGAGGTACTGCTCCTGGCGGGGCCAAAGGGCTCACCGATACACCACCACTCCGCTAGCAAGACCAAGCCAGGACGAAGATAGACTCGGGGTACCTGGAGATCTGGAAAATGTCTCGGGCGTCGTGGGTGTGCCGGAACGCGCAGAAACGGATTAACCCTCGTCCTAGCCACGTCAGCCATAAAACTCTCCAGAGGTGCGTTCAAACCAAGATCTCGAGGCGGATCCGGCCATGGCGACGAGGGATAGGCAACGATATCTGAGCATCGTTTCGCCGAACCCTATCCCCATACCTCTCTGGGGGTGCGTTCAAAGCAGGATTTCGAGGCGGATCCGGCCATGGCGGCGAAGGGATGGGCAACGGTATCTGAGCAGCGTTTCACCGATCCCGATCCCCACTGGCGTGGCCTTGGCCCAACTGGCCGACTTCCCCATCTAGACGGAGATACATAACCAACCCTGGGGATCCATCCTCGGGACATTGGCAGGTGGCGGGATGGATGAGTCGGCCTTCCCTCCCCATGGCCCCGAGTAGCAACCGCCCGCCGCGGCTTCCCAAGGTCGATCCTCCCGGCGACGCCTTGTTTTCTTCGCAACGGGGTCCCCAGAGGCCCCGACGACCCCTCCCCCAGGGCCAGCTTTCCATCCTGAGCCTTCTGTTCTACAATCTCGGGCTCCAGCGAGGGCCCCCAGGGGCCGAAAATCCAGAACACCTCTGCCCTGATGTCCCATTCCGTTGGAAGTCCGGGACCCCCCCTGAGATCCGACGTGGCGATCGAATGGGAACGTCGTCAGACGTCACGGCTGGAAGCCGAGACCTCATCCTTTTGCGGCTCTGATCGGGCCAAATCGATCACGTGATGCTCCAACGCCCGAAGCCCAGCGACACCGCCTGCCGTGGCCACGAGGGCTCTCCAAGACGAGCAGCGGCGTCGGCCCACCTCAGGCACCCAGCCAGCTCCACACCTCAGGATCCAGCCGTCGCCACGAGGGCTCTGCGGGCCGGGCAGCGGCATCGCTGCGTATATGTGCAAAGAATGGGCTCGAATCAGGTTCCGCCCTATGAGCGCCTAGTCTTCATCAATGTCCCGACTAGCGCCTGTCAGCGCTTATTAGCACCTATAAGCGACCACTACCAAACAATAGCAAACGTTAACAACCTGGGTAAATGATCGCGCCTGACACATCTAAGCTTGAGTCGGGCGTGTCCCCATACAGGCGAATTTGGACAAAAACACAAATTATCAATAAACACGTCCAACAAATAGTAAACAAATCCTAAACACATCGTCTCCAGACTGGTGTTTCACAATGTTTGAAAATCCTCTTGTAGAGAGACATGCCCGCCTGAAATCTACGTATCTGAATATCGTTCAACCAGCCCCCTCATATCCCCACCCCCATCCCCATCCCGAGCGAGTCGATCTCAACACCCTATCTTGGGGGTTGACCCTCGACACCCGAAAGGCACGGCCTATGTCCCACGCTGGGCCTAGGTAAACCATGTCTTCCCTACAAGAGATCGTTGGAAAAGCTATCCCATCAATAATCGAACATATTCATACAACTAATCAGAAGGTCGTCTGCAGACTATGCATTGACTACTCTCGACTACTCCTCCTGTAGATGGACATGCCCGATCAAAGAGAGAGGCGGGGACGGGTAAACGATGCTCAACTAGAATAATAATAATAATGATAATGATAATAATAATAATAATGATAATAATAATCGCATAATTATAAACATCCGCCGATCCAGCGTGCGGTTTTCTGAGAGCGTGGGCTTGAGCTCGCTCAAGCTTCGCTCTGCAGGGGGGGGAACCAAACGACGAAATAATTGACACGCGCGGCCTCCCCAATGCCGGGACCGCCCCCCCCCCACCTGCACCTTCCTCTCCGGCGCCCCCCTTCCCTTCCTGCACCCCCCCCCCCCCCCCCCGCAATCTCCTCTCGCCCCCCCCCCCCCCCCCCCCCTCTCCTCTTCCTGCACCCCACCCCCCCCCCGCCGCCTCTGCACCTTCTCTTTCCCCCAGCTCCCCCCCCCCGCACTGCGCCCTGGACAGGAGAGAGGGGGGGGGGGAGGGGAGGGGGACAGGAGAGAACGGGGGGGAATGAGAGAGGGGGGGGGGACAGGAGAGAGGGGGGGGGGAAAGGAGAGAGAGAGGTGGGGGAGGGGACAGGAGAGAGGAATGGGGGGAGGAAGGGGGGGGGACAGGAGAGAGAGAGGGGGGGGGGCAGGAGAGAGGGGGGGGGCAAGCTAGATGCGCTCGCGTCATACCTGACATCCTTCCCCTCCCTCCCATCCCTTACCATGGCGCAGATCCCCTCTCTACTCGCTCAGTCGGATGTCGAGCAGGGCAATGATCCCGAAAGGGTACGCGGTGCATTGTAGAGCACGGCGTGGCATGGCGTAGAAGAGCACCACCGCAAAGCGTAGCATCAACCTAGCATTGCATTGTATGCCGTGGCATGGCACGGGAAATGACGCCAGCGCTGCAGTGGGAGCACGAGTCGAAACGAGCCGAAGCGCGGAAATGAGGCCAGCGCTGCAGCGGGAGCACGATTCGGAACGAGCGGAAGCCCGAAAATGAGGCCAGCGCTGCAGCGGGAGCACGATTCGGAACGAGCGGGGCCCGAAAATGAGGCCGGCGCCTCAGCGAGAGCAGCATTTTGAAAAACAATGCAAGCGAGAACCCAACTCTGGGGAAACCTGTGTGAAAAAAACAATACGCGGGGGGGGTCGGCCACTTTCAAACCATCATCAGGGGAAGAGGGAGAGTAGCATTCATATTGAATAATTGTTGAAGGGGGGGGGGGACAGGAGAGGGGGGGGGACAGGAGAGAGGGGGGAGGGGGACGGAAAAGGAGAGAGGGGGGGGAGGGGACAGGAGAAAGGGAGGGGGGACAGGAGAGAGGGGGTTTTGGGGGGGTCAAGATCATCACCATCTCCATCACCATCACCATCACCATCGTCACATCACCACCGTCATCATCATCTGGAGCGCCCCGGATCGGCGGCACTGGCTGGAGGCCACTACAATAATAGAAAGACAAAGAAGAATAGCTAGAATCCACGCCATAACGATAAACAACTTTTGGCGCTCCGCGCAGATTTCTTGGATCTGCGCTAACCCCCCCTCCCTGGCGCGCGGAGCGCGCCAAGGGCGGCGCTGGAGGCGCCGCCGGGCGGGCCCGGCGCGGGTCCCAGAACCCCGCGCGGAGTGCCAAAAGGTTCTGTTTATGGCGTTCTGTTTTTTTCGGTCAACATCGGTTCCGTTCCTTGGCGGCGCGCACAAGGGGGTGGAGGGAGGGGGGAGGGCGTCTTAGAAAGAGGCTGCTTCTTAGAAGGCGCGGGCCTCACATCTAAAGATAAGGCCCGCGCCTTCTAAGAAGCAGGGGTGCTTCCAAGAAGCCCTACCCCCTCCCCCCACCCCCCCTCTGCGCGTGGCTGAGTTCCCCCCACGAGCTCCAGGGGCACGCCCGGCAGCTGCGTCATCGCCAGCCGCACGGTCCAGTGGCCCGGCGCCGGGCCCGCGCACACCTCTCGGCGCGGGCCCGGCGGGGGGTGGGGCGCGCCGGGCTAGGCGCCCAGGCGGGCCCGCCGGGCGGCTCTCAGCGATGCAGGCGGGCCGTGTCAGTAGGCATGCGCGACGAGGATGCAACGGCCTTGGACGCTCTCCTCCTCCTGCTCCTCCTCCTCCCCCTCCTCCTCCTCCTCCTCCTCCTCCTCCTCCTCCTCCTCCTCCTCCTCCTCCTCCTCCTCCTCCTCCCCCTCCCCCTCCCCCTCCCCCCCCTCTCCCCCTCCCCCCCCTCCTCCTCTCCTCCCCTCCTCCTCCTCCTTCTCCTCCTCCTCCTCCTCCGCCGCCTCCTCCTCCTCCTCCTCCTCCTCCTCATCCTCCCTCCTCCTCCTGCTCTTCCCTCCTCTCTCCTTTTCTCCTCGCACGCAACGGTCTTGGACACCCATGACGAGGCGTTCCGAGCGGAGCGCGGCCAACGAAGGCGGACCAAGGAAGGACCGAGGCGGCAAGGGTGCACGGGTACAATTTGGAAGAATGCCCATGCTTATTATGCGGGTTGGCTGTAGGGGGGGGGGACTGGCACAGGGGGGGGCATCGAACGGGCAATCAGCGATGCATCGCCGATTGATCAGCAAGCGGTCTCCGATATAGCGGATTATCGGGGCCCTATCGGCGATGAGTGGGCGATCGGGGGTCGCTGCATCCTCATATGCCTATGCACCCCTATCCTGCGCGCCGAAGGCAGCGGGCCCCCCCTAAGATTTTGGCGCGACAGATGTTTCGCCAGCGCACTGCGGCTGGAAAAGTGGCGCCGAAGGATGGGGGCCCGAGGTTCTGGTCGCGCGCTCGCTCTCGGCCCTGGTGTCGTGCAGACGCGGCCACCTGTCCAGCTCCCTTTCGCCGCGGCTGGGCGTGGGGGAGGGGTTCATCAGGGAAGAGGTGAGGGAAAAGGTGGAGAAACGCCTCCCGATGAGGGCAAAAGTGAGATGGGGCCCGAGGTTCTGGTCGGGTCCTTTTCTTTTGGACGCCCGACATGGGTACCGAAAAAATGGGTACGATGCCCAACAGCAAATGTTGTCCCAAACCAACAGCGGCCGCTGTTGGGCAGGCGGCCTTCTGTCTCAAATGTACACAGGCCGCGGCGGCGCGGACAGCGAGTCCTGTTCAAAATGAACAGGAACTGCTGTTGAGCATGGTACCCATTCTTTCCGTGCCCATCTCGTTCGTGCAGATTTCTGTTCACGCTGCTTCGATCAGTCCGCGACGCCGCCTAATTATCCCAGGGCGCCCAGACGCCCTCGCGTCGCGCGGGGGGCCTCTGGCATGTTTTGGCCCCCGGGGGGCGCGTGCCAGGCTCAAAGGCTTAGGTCGGGCGTGTCCTCCCCCAGGCGGACCTTGGAGGAAAAATGCCCCCAACAGATAGCCAAACGACAAGTGATCAAAAATGATCAAGAAATGCCATTCTTGAATGTGCCTCCTGTAGAGGGACATGCCCGACTTTGAACCCAAGACCGTGCGCGGCGTCGGGGATCTTCTGACCCGGGTCGATCCAGACCCGGGTCAGCAGGAAACCAAAAAACTGCAATTCAGGAGAAAAAAAAACTACTGCAACGCAGGTCTCCGCAAACCCGGGTCGGCCAATGTGCACGGCCGCCTCGCGGCCACGAGCGGCTCGCGGACCCGGGTCAGCCAGAGGGGGTTGTCGCAGGATGCTGCAGGATCCGGTGCCCTGGCTGACCCCCGTTTGCATTAAGTCGGGCCTGTCCCCCTACAGGTGGATTTTCGAAGAAAAATAAAAAAATACCCCACGAATAATCAAACAAAAATCAACAAATAGTATGGGGACTATTTTTTGAATATTTTTAAACCTTCTTGGGGTATTTTTGGGGTATTCTTTTCTCTTCGTCGGAAATCCCCCTGTAGGGGGACACGCCCGACATAACGTCTGCACGGACCCCCGTTCCTTGAGCCCCGGCGGCGCCCGTCTTCGGAGCCTCCGGCCGCCTGAGAGCGCACCCGCTCTCCCACGAACGCTCCCTCTCTCGGCGGCCCGGGCCTCCTTCACCCCCCTCCTTCCCAGCGGCCGTCTACGCTCAGGCCGGATGTTGGACGAACGTTAAGAAATAGTCTGCAGATATCCAAAAACAGTTTTAAAAGGAAGCACCGTTCATAAACATTATTATGCGATGCTCGACCTCTCCTCATGTAGAGGGACATGCCCGACTGAACTCTTCAGGCGGAGAATCCAAGAACGGTAAACTCCATAGACTGGGGACGACTTGTCGTGCTCTTTTGAATACGTTTGATTATTCTTCAAACTTTTAAGCGCCCACCTTCCTAAATCCGCATCGAGGAGGACACGCCCGACCCCAAAGTCTACGGCAATTTGCCCGGGCGACCCACAGCGTGCTCGCGACCCAAGAGGCGTCCAGGCATCGAGCCATCGGGAGCCACACCGAACGGGGAACGAGGTGGCAGTTCTGCCTTCGGCGAGCCCTGGCCACGAAGGAACTCCCCGACCTGGCTCCGAGGAGCGGCGCGAAAGCCGTCGCCCCTGGAACGCTGGCCCTGCCCTACCCTTCCCCGGTCAGGGTCGGGGGGTCTGAGCTGGATGGACCTCGAGAACATATATATATATATATATATATATATATCCAGACCGGGGGGATGAGCGGCAAATCCCTACAACATCGGTCCCTGGAGCCCTCCCTGGCTAGATCGGGTGCAGCTTCTCACCCGGATCCGGTCTCGAGAGCCCATAGGAGGCCCAAAAATCAGGTCGGGCGAAAGGGGGGGATACCAAAGGGGGCGGGGTATCCCAGCGCCTCCCGGCGCCGGGGGCGGCTATGTATCGAGAAATGGCCCCCTCCTCGGTGAGGCCGAAACCAGCTGCATGCAGCAAATTTCGTACCCCCCCCTTTCCCAATCCCCCCTGTCGTCCGGCCCGAGAAAGCGGCCACCGGAGCCCGGCGACACTCGAAGACCTCGTCGAACCGGGCGACGCAGACGCCGACGCCGACGCCGACCACGCGGCCGCCGAAGGGCCGCCGAAGGGCCCGCCGAGAGGCCGCCGAGGGGCCGCCGGCGGGCCGCGGCAAGGACGGCAGCACGGCCGCCGCAGGGCCCGCGCAGCGGGGCAGATCGGCGGCGGGGGAAGGGGGTCCAACGCCGATCCGAGAAATCCGCGCGGACCTCCGAGTATTTATGTTTATGTCACTTTTGTTCCCCTAAGAAATGAATACGGAACAAATTGTACAATGTCCAACAACGAATGTTATCCCAAACCAACAGCGGCCGCTGTTGGGCAGGCGGCCTTCTGTCTCGAATGGACACAGGCCGCGGCGGCGTGGACACCGAATCCTGTTCAAAGTGTACAGGAACTGCTGTTGGGCATTGTACCCATTCTTTCAGTGCCCATTTCGGGCGTCCAAAGGCTTGCCGGGACGCTGGGGGCGTCGGAGCCGGCCAACAAAACCAATTTACAAGCGCGTCCCACTACCGTATTCGGCCTGACCTAAGGAACGATAAATCAGGAGCGGAGCCCCTGATCCTCCAAGTAAGTCTACGAAGTCCAAGGGAACACCAGGGGGGCTCGCCGCCGAAAAGGTAGCGGAACGCATGCAAACCAGAAGAACGACCGAGCCCCTTCTGAAAAAGAAGTGTTCCTCATTCAAGCCAGATCCTGTACTCGCAGAGTAGCTGCTCGCAAATGTCCTGGCTCCGCCGCGGGGGATTTACGATCCATTCCATTGAAGAAGACGTGTTTTTGTTTTTCGGACGTCTGCGAGCAGGCACTCTGCGAGCAGTGGAACGCGCTCGGTGAGCTAGGAACCTTATCGAGTCAACAACCTCGGCACCACCCCTGCTCACCGGAAATGGTGCTGGGCCACCTCAGGATCCCAGCCGACTTCAAGAGGGGAGGGCCCGTTGCATGCATGGCGGTCCTGAATTACCTCGTCCTCGTCTCCGAGGTCGGCATAGTGCCATGAACAGGTCATGTGGCACCCATTGCGAACACCCGGTGGGCGGCGAACACTCGATGTCAGCCTTCGAGATCGGTATGTCTCTAGCCGGCGGCGAGCGAGGGGGGGAATGAAACGGACAAGGCTTCCTCAGAAGGCGGCGGGAAGTGTCCCGTGCCCCTGGGGAAGGCTCGGGAGCGGCCAAGAGGGGGGTGCCCAAGAGGGGGGGGGGGAAATCATGACCGGCGGCATCTGCGCGGCCCAGCGGGGGGGGCCAGGGACGTAATGAAATAAGAAGAGGCGCCATGAAATCTGGGGAAATATCATGGCCCCCGCCATGATATCCCCCCCCCCCCTAGTCATCACCCCCGTCTTTTCCGCTCCCGAAAGGCTTAGGAAACTTCTCAGAAGGCCGGGAGACTTCCGAGCCTTCTGCAAAAGGCCCGCCCCTCCACACTCCTCCCCCGGGCTCGCCGCCGATCTTCTCGGTGGCTCCAAAGTGGGGTCCTGAGGGGTGGGGACCGAAGGATAAGGAGGGATCCAAGGGTGGATCTACGTTGTTGAAGGGGCCCTGGGACACGCAAGTAAATACACACACATAAAAATATTCCCCATATTTTATAATATGTTCTGTGTTTTTGTTTTCCCCCACTTCCCATATTTTCAAATATTCTCTGGGAGTCAACGATTAATTGTGTCTGTGTGTTTTTTCCCTCCTGAGTTGTTTGAAGCACCTCGTCCTTGGGACCTCATCTTCGGTGGCAACTCATGGAGGACTCAATCGCCACCTTGTCTGCTCTTGCGAACCGAGGTCCGTCGACGCTGCGCCGACGCGAATCGACGCCACTACCTCGACGCTCATCGAGGCTCGCCGGCGCCGAACCGGCGCCAGCTCGTCGACTCCCAAACGCTACTCGACGCTGATCGTCGCAGAAGACGGCATCAATAGGGTACTCTAGATTTCGTATTAAAAGGGAGGGGTGAACATGCTACGCATGGAATGAATTCAATGGAAATAAATCGCAGTGGATCCGTGAGTGGATCAATCTAGACTGATGAGGCTATGATGCCTCTTTTGATTTTGAGCTGGCTATGATGCCCGCTCGTGCCCACCCCGTCCCGTCTTCAGGGACTTCGCATCCTCCTATGACGGTAGGATGGGAAGACGGGCCGCCGCCCCTGGCACTGCACGTACGGCGCCAGGTTTGTGGGGATTTGGTTCGACCCCCGCAGTTCCGGTGATGGAAACTGCAAGGGGTGTGAGGCCTCATGGTGGTCCTCACTGGTAAGGCCTATGATGGTCCTCACCAGGGGGGGGGGAGGGCAAGGGCGCACCAGGAGGAGGAGGACAGGGAGGAAGAGGAGGACGATGACGAGACAGTTGAGTTCAATGAACAGATTGAGCGCGAAGGCCTATGATGGTCCTTCTTCCCAAAACGAGCCTTGCTGATGGCCCCGAACTGGGTGCGAGGTGCCTATGATGGCCCCTCTGGTTGCCTATGATGGCGGCACTAGACGATCGGCAGGGGACTGGGTCCCGTTCACGGTCCATTAGGGGTGAGCATGCTACGCATGGAATGAATTCAATGAAAATAAATCGCAGTGGATCCGTGAGTGGATCAATCTAGACTGATGAGGCTATGATGCCTCTTTTGATTTTGAGCCGGCTATGATGCCCGCTCGTGCCCACACCGTCCCGTCTTCAGGGACCCTCCAAGACAAGCCATTTCAGACCTCCCCCGTGGGAGAACCCTCCAAAACATCGTCTCCGGACCCCCCAGGCCCTCCAAGATAGCCTGGAAGAGACCCCCCCGAAATGAGACCCCCCTTCCTTTATTACGAAATCTGGAGTATGAGACCGCTTCTTTCTGAATCGGCGACAACCCGGGCTATCCGGGGGGGGGAGAGGAGGGTGCCGGCCGATCACCTGACCTTCGCGCGGTGGGCAGCCCTGCATGTGCCCGCGCCACCCCACCCCAGACCTGCGCAACCGGCAAGGTCGGATTATCCCGGGGGTGGAGGGGGGGTCCTGACTCCAGATCCGCCCTACTTTGGCTTTTTTTCAAACTTCGAATTGCGTCGGAGATCCACCTAACCTTCGCGCTGTGGGCAGCCCTGCATGTGCCCGGCCCCCCCCCCACCCCAAACCCGCGCAACTGGCAAGGTCAGGTTATCCTGGGGGGTGGGAGGGGGAGCCCTGACTCCAGATCCGCCCTACTTTCTTTCCCCAAACTTAGAATTGCGTCGGAGATCCACCTATAAGAAGCCGGAACAGTAGGGCGGCAATTTCTGCACCCAACATAAAGGTGGGCCGGAAAGCCACATAAGTAGGGCGGAACCAGCAACAGAACAGTAAGGCGGAAATTGGCAGCATCAGCAGGGCTTGAAAGGTAAGGCGGAAACTTCAAGCCATACTTACGAATTTTCCCAAAGTAGGGCGGATCCGGAAACAGGGAGGGGGAGGGAGGGGGGCAAGCCCAACAACCTGGGTGATCGCCGGACCCTAAACACAAGCAGTCTCTACACCAGGCTCCCGACGTCGGCCCCTCCTCCAGGCTGTCCCGGGCAGCTCGGCTGCCCAGGCCATCCTCGGAGAGACCGGCGCGAGCCCAGGGTGGCCCGGAGACCGCTCGCGCGACGCCTCGGCGGCGCGCACAAGGGGGCAGGGGGAGGGGGGCAGGCTTCTCGGAGGGAGGCTGCCTCTCAGGAGGCACGGGCCCCACATCTAGAGAGACCAGGCCCGCGCCCTCTAAGAAGCAGAGGCGCTTCTGAGCAGCCCTCCCCCCCCTCCCCCGTCACGACGGGGCGATGCCGTCCTTAAGAGCCACCGCTCTTCCCCCTCCGAGGGCCGGCGGCGGCCGGCCGCCGCCGCCGCGGCGGCGGCCCCCCGCCCGCGCCTCGGACGCCAACGGGGCGGGGACGCGGCCCGCCAGCGCCGACCCGCCGCCCAGGCGCCGCAGGAGCAGCGCCTCTTCCCTGCGCGTCGACGACGGCGACAGCGACAGAGACGACGACACCGACGACGACGACGACGACGACGACGACGACGACGACGACGACGACGACGGCCGCGGCGGCGGCGGCGGCGGCGGGGACGGCGGCGGCGGCGGCGGAGACGACGATGACAACGACGACGACGACGAGGACGAGGACCAGAGCGAGGGCGAGGACGAAGACGACGACGACGACGGCGACAGCGACGAAGTCGACGGCGACGAATTCGACGAATTCGACGACGACGACGATGGCCCAGCGCCACGCGGAGCCGCAGCTGCACCTCTTCCCCGCGCGTCTGGCGTCGTCGAGGGCGGCCGCCGCCGGCGGTCGACGACGACGGCGACGGCGACCGGTGGCATCAGACAACCCTGAGATTAGGGCGATGCGATTCGCTTCACAGCCGACAGGGGATATGTCGACCCCTATCCCAAGCTCTGGGAGGTCCTCGAATGGATCAGAGATTTGGGGCCCAACCCTGAGATGCACCATGGGGGGGTGTCCATCCTTGACAGGGGTGCGTCCGAATAGCCCCCCTTAGGGTGTATCCCAGGCGTTCTCGCCTTCTTCTGAATGGCCAAAGTTCTCGATTGGAACTCGGAGCGGGGGAGAAAGAACCCCTGCGAACAGCGTGCTCTCGCCGCAACGCCGCCCACTCGCCGAGGGAGCAACAGCTATTCCCCTCCCAGGGCCGCAGGAGACGCCGGGCGACGACGGCGGCCTGCGGCATTTCACATAAGCTTTTGGAAGATTCCGCTGGTTACTTCCTTCGGGGGCGCACAACCATGGATTAGCGATCCATGGATTTGGCGCGCGGTGGCCACACCCATGGATCGGAGGAGGTGCCCCAAAATGCGACCGGTGCCGCCTCGCTCGGCGGCGGAAATCCGCGACTTCCCATGGAAGCGGGACCCGTCGCTGACTCACGCCCACTGGGTCCAGGCGTGCGCTCGCCTGACTCTGGGCCGCCTTCGAAGTTTCACCCCCGCGGCGATCCAATGCAAGCACCAAGCCCCAGAGTCGGGGGCGCCGCCCTGCGGCGGCAATGGCGACCAGCGGCGCAGACGACGGGAGGAGGCGACCCGCCCCGACGCCCAGCCGCGACGGGGGGCGGCGCCAAACATCCAACACCCGACATCCGTCCCCCGCCGTGAGTTGGGCGTGGCTTCGTGGGGGGTCTGAAAAACAGGGGGTCAGAAACGGTCCCCTTTCGTGTCCCTTTCGGGCCCCCCCGGAGCCCCAGAGGGGGCTCCTTTCGGTACCGTTTGGGTACCTTTTCGGCCCACCCTCGCCCTCCCCCCCCCCCCCCATTTATGACCCCCCCCATTACGCAGCGCCCAAAGGAGCTCTGGCCACTGCGCGCCGGGAAGCTCTGCCCAGATGATTCGGCACCGAGCGCCCCAGCATTCGGCACCTAGGATACAGCCCTCGTAGGGTCCTCGCCCATACAGTCGGAGGGCACACGAGAAGACACAAGACCCTTCCGAGGGCGACATGGCCGTAGGAATGTAGAACAACCAAGGTTGCGAAGCTCAGGACACAAGGATACCCTCGATTTGGCAGGGTCGACCTACTAAATCAGACTCGACTGTAGCCATCGGGATGATACCCACCCCCACGCGTACCGACCCAAACAAATCATCCGCCACCGTGCCTCTGGACACGCAAAGGGCGTCCCCCGCGGTGATAGGGTGAAAAGGGCCCTCACATGCACGCCGGAGCTGTCCAATACGACCCCAAACGTTCAAACACCTCCTCCAGCTTTCACCATGGAACCTCGATTTCTGGCACGAATTTGTGACCCCTCTAGTGTAGAGAGCTCCTCGATGGGGTCCGAGTAGATGAGGTCAGAGGATCGCGCCGCATCGCCAATGCACCGGCGATGTGGAGCGATCTTCCGCTCCCATCTACTCAGACCCCATCTGGGAGGCTGAGGTAGTCACAGAAGAGTCGGCCTGGTATCTCATTATACGGAAGGCAGAACCGAGGCCTGCCAACGTGCATCTGGGTACGGAGTGGACTTGGTCTCAGACCATGTGCCT